TAAGACCTTCCAACAGATTGAATCAGACCCACCCAAATTGCCGAGGAAAATCTTCTCCACTTAAAGACAACCCAGAGCCGGCCCCATGGCTTAGCGGTTAAGTGCGCGCGCTGTGCTGCTGGCGGCCCGGTTCGGATCCCAGGCGCACACTGACGCACCGCTTCTCCGGCCATGCTGAGGCCGCGTCCCACATACAGCAACTAGAAGGATGTGCAACTACGCCATACAACTATCGACTGGGGCTTTGGGGAAAAAATAAATAAATAAATAAAATTAAAAAAAAAAAAAAGACAACCCAGACCCGGGCAGGCATAGTGGTTAAGTTCACGTGCTCTGCTTAGACAGCCCCGGGGTTCACGGGTTCGGATCCTGGGCGTGGACCTATGCACCACTTATCAAGCCATGCTGTGGTGGCGTCCCATATACAAAGTAGAGGAAGATTGGCACAGATGTTAGCTCAGGGACCATCTTCCTCAAGCCAAGTGAGGAAGATTGGCAACAGATGTTAGCTCAGAGCCAATCATCCTCAAAAAAAAAAAAACCCAAAAAATGAAGACAAGCAATTATGAACATTAATCACATCTACAAAATACCTTCACAGCAACACCTAGATTAGCATTTGATTCAATAACCAGGTCCACAGCCTAGCCAAGGTGACACAAAATCGACCAGCACAGGATTCTAGTTGCCTTTCCTGTCTGAGCTCTCAACACACCTTCCCTCACCTCACCTCGCCCCACATTTGCCTGCCCTGAGCCTTTGGTAACGCTCTTCTCTCAGCTCTCTATCCCCAGGTTGCAATCCTTGGTCTTACAGGCCCATTTCCTGCAAGACCCTTCCCAAATCATCTCAGTTTGATTGGGTTTCTCATGCCTTCATACTTAACCTTATTTCTGTAAGTATCTGTCTTGCCTGCTAGCGGGAAAGAATTGTGTACCATTCATTCCCTGTAGGCCCACCCTCCAGAGGCCCTGGCATATTGAAGGATCTCAGTACATTTCTTTTGAATTATATCAAACTTATAGAACCCACCACCATTTACATGTAACTCAATCACACTCTTTTCAAAACCTCATTTCTTAGGATCTTTTAGCCTGCCCCACACACTTTGTCCCTATTCTGATGGTCTAATTTATCGACAGTCATCCATCCCTAAAGGTCTGAGGATATTTTTTTCTAAAATATTTTAATTCAAACCTCCTTTAAATTTTTCCCTCAGGACTATCTTACTGTAGCTATTGCCTAAGAAGGCCCACCTGCCCCTAAAGGGTAAGCCCTTCCCCCATGCCCTGACACTGGTTACCTCTCTAGAGAGAAAAAAGGAACAGGGATAGCAGCATTATTTCCACAGACATTTACATTCTGGAATTCGCTGATCAGATTACTTAGTGTTTGCCCTAATGGGATGTTTAGTTTTAATCTAATCAGTCCAGGGTTCAATGATCATTTATCTGGAGAGACGATCCATAGTGCTCATAAAATTCTCAAAGGAGTCCATGATCTCCAAAAGGATGAGATTCACAGGCAATGTCTCTCCCATCCCTCTTCATAAACCCTACAGCTACTGGCCCAATAAAGGACATTACTAACTTACCCTCCCAATCTGGTTTGCCTGCCTCCAATCTCTTCCCTGTTATTCACCCTACACAGATAAATTTACCTAAAGCACAATTATGATCATATCCTTCCCTTACTCTAGAGTAGTCAATGGCTTCCCATGGCCTGCAGAATAAAGTCTCAACATGGTACCTGATACTCCAGCCAAAGTGACTACTTCTCTTTCCTTAAAACCTCTCTCTACTTCCTCACCTTTGCTTCCTGCCTGGGGAGGCCCACCTCCTCCCAATCATTGTCTGTCAAAACCCTCGCCATCCTTCAAGGCCTAGCTCATGTGCTTCTACCTCCAAAAATACTTTCCAGGATACCCCATGCAGAGGTGATATATTTTACTGCTAAGTCTGCATATCACTTTATTTGGGTCTTGTGGCTGATGTCTAGTCGTACCTCCAAAACACATTTTCCTCTTCTTCCTGGGTGCAGGGCAACCTAACAAGACATTTCCTAGTCTTTCTTGCAGCTACGAATGAATTGCAACTAAGCTCTTGCCGTGTGACTAAGCTCTTGCTAAAGGGATGTGACAGAAAGTGAAATGGACAAATTCCACTTGATTTGCTTAAAAGGAAATCCCTGGCCTGGACCTCTTCTCTTTCTTCCTTCCCATGAGTTGGAATGTGGATGTGCTCATGACCTAGCATGAAGCAGAATTGTCCCACTGGCTTAGACTGGCCAGCATATTATATAAGAGAGAAATAATTTGTCTTATTTGAGCTGCTGTATTTTAGGGTCTCTGTTACAGCAGCCTACCCTTTACCCAAACACAGGATTCTCTATGGTAGTGTATTAAATTGTACTGTGCCTTAAAAATACTTGTATAAATATCTCATCTTTTTCACTTGGAAGCCAACTCCTAATTGGTCTCCCTGCTTCCTGTCTTGCCCCCTACACTCTATTCTCAGCTGGGGTAATCCTCTTAAAAGGGAAGTCAGATCATGTCATTCTTTGCTAAAAACACTTACTCAGTCAAAACAAAAATCCTTAAAATGGCCAAGGTCCTGCATGATCGGCACCCTCCCACCAATAGGTTTTATCTCACTGACCTTAGTTTCCTTATTTTCTCTTATAGGTGTACTCCACCCCCAACACTCACTCTGCACCAGACACACCAACCTCCCTACTAGTCCTCAGATACGTTAGATACACTCTGCCTTAGGGTCTTTGCACTTGTTGGTCCCCTCTGCTTGTCCCAGATATCAACATGGCTCATTCCTTTATCTCCCTCAGGTCTTTGCTCAAACGTTACCTTCCTAGATAGGCCTTCTCTGATTACGCTACCTAAAGTTATGCTCCCCCTCCCCTCCATCCCACCCTGGTACATTATTCCACTCCCTTGCCTGAGTTTTCTCCACAGCACTTATCACCATGTAACATATTATACACTTTCTTTATTTACATGTTTATTGTTTGAAAATGTAGGGCCCTGTGGCTTAGTGGTTAAGTGCGCGTGCTCCACGGCTGGCGGCCCGGGTTCAGATCCTGGGCATGCACTGACACACCGCTTCTCCGGCCATGCTGAGACCATGTTCCACATACAGCAACTAGAAGGATGTGCAGCTATGTCATACAACTATCTACTGGGGCTTTGGGGGGAAAAATAAATAAATAAAATCTTTAAAAAGAAAAAAAAAAGAAAATGTAAACTCTATGAGAGCGGGGTTTTTGATTGCTTACTGCTGTGTTCTCAGTGCCCAGAAAAGGGCCTGGCACATAAAAAGTATTCAATAAATATTTCTTGCATAAGTGAATTTCTTTGGGGCAAAGACTTTATAGTCCCCTCAATGCCTAGCATGCTGCCTTGTATGCAATGAAGCACTTAGTAAATATTCGATGAATGAACTATGAGGGAAGACTACTAATATTCTGCCTTGCAATTTACTTCCCTCTCCAAGTATTCCTATACACCTGGGCCTACATTAAATTTCTGAACTCATTAAAGTATGACAAAAGGTCAGAAGGAGACGTCCTATAGGGAAACTGCTGAAAATGGCAGTTCAAGAAAGATAGGATGCTGCTTTGACTGTTTTCTGCCTTTGCCACTTGGACAAAACCTTTCCCCTCTTTAGGTCTCAGTTTCACCATATGTAAAATGAAGCTAGTAGACTAGATGATTTCTGAAGTTCCTTCTATTTTTATAGCTTGTAGTTATGAGCACTATGGTGTACATAACTAAAATTGTATGATTTTTTTAATTTTAAAATTGTATAATTTTTCTTACATCTTTTTTTGTGTGTGTGAGGAAGATCAGCCCTGTGCTAACATCTGCCAATCCTCCTCTTTTTTTTTTTTTTTTTTGCTGAGGAAGATTGGCCCTGGGATAACATCTGTGCCCATCTTCCTCCACTTTATATGGGATGCCGCCACAGCATGGCTTGCCAAGAGGCGCGTTGGTGCGCACCCAGGATCCAAACCGGTGAAGCTCAGGGCACCGCAGCAGAGCACGTGCACTTAACCACTTGCGCCACCGGCTGGCCCCTCTCTTACTTCTAATCCATGGTTGGAACATGCTTAATGAAAATGTGGTGTAAGAATAAAGGTTCTCTTTGGGGCAATTAGTAAGTATCATCATAAAAGTAATAAAACATGGTGTAAAAGGCCACATTAGCAATATGCAGATGATGATGCTGAGGCTTACATGAGTCAGATAGGGCCAAAAACCAGGTTTTCTGATTCCTTCAGGGCTCTTTATCTGAAGTCCCATAAGTATACTATATTTTATCTCATTTCCCTGGGTTAGATAAATCAGACCTTTACTGCCCAGATATATTGGAAAACCCATACTCCTTCACTTGTTTGAACGTACTTGGTTCCAGCATTAGAAATAAAACACAGCTTTCTCTTGCAAAGTCTCTGGATGATTCAGGCGGCATGCCCTGAGTCACTTTCCCCTTGGGACCTGTCTTCCAGGCAAAGGCGACACTGTGCAATTGCAAAGAGCAAACAAGCCCTTTGGATGTGCCTGTGCTATGGGTGTCTATGATGTAAAAGTGCTTTAATTCATCCCCGTCCTTATATTCAGATAAAAATCATGTTCAGAAACATGCAAACTCATGTTCAGAAATTTCCCCTTCAGTCTAACTGTGGCTGCGATCCTGATAAACAGATTTTCTTAAAAGAAACTGTAAACCAGAGCTAGACTTACTTTCTGGTGCTGAAAAACAAGTGTGGCTAATTTCCCGCTTGCGGGAAATATCTGGCCCTGCGCGTCACCAGCATCTCCCCACCCCCAGTCAAGCGCGGTTTATCTCCGCCAGCTCTCCCCAACTGCCTAGCTGCAGGGGGCGGGGCTATTTCTTAGCCTCGTCCCCTTCATGGCCTCCAGCCAATACCTGAGAGAGTCGGAGGCTGGCGGGGCTACAGTGAGAACCCACCCACTGCTACCGCTCAGCTAATCGGGACTGGCGGGGGGTGGACCTCCCTGCTGACCCCGCCTCTCCGGCGCTGGGCAATTTAGAGCCGCGCGCCGGGCGGGAATGTAAGATGGCGGAGTAGCAACGCGAAGTGGATAATACTGAGTCTCTGGGCCGACCTCGGTTCAGGTCTCGGCAGCAGCAGTGATCGCTGAGCGAGGAGTGCCTAGGGTAGTTGGCCAAGATGCCGAATATCAAAATCTTCAGCGGCAGCTCCCACCAAGACTTGTCCCAGAAAATTGCCGACCGCTTGGGCCTGGAGCTAGGCAAGGTGGTGACTAAGAAATTCAGCAACCAGGAGACCTGGTAAGGGCGAAGTTGGGACTCCGGCCGGCCTCACCTGCCCGGGCGGCGGGGGCGATGCTTGGGCTGCGAGGGCGATGCTTGGGCGGCAGAAGCTAGGGGAATGGGGCTGCCGCGTGTGTGTGAGTTCTGAGGGGCTAGGGTGGGGAGGAAGGGGCAGCTCTGTGGCGAGCGTGCCCCATGGGCTGTTTCCGTTATTTTACCTCTCGCGGGAGGGTCACGTTCATTCTCACCGTGCGGTGGGGTGGAGTCAAGATGGAGCGTGAGGCGAAGCTGCTAGGTTAGAAGGCTAGGGCTAGAGGACCCAACGCGAGGATAGTGGCTGCCGAGAGCGACGGAAGGGATAGCCGCTTAGCCTCGGCCGTGGGGACACGTGGCTTCGTCGCTTCGCTGTTGAGCCATCCAGGCCGGACTGGGTTCGCTTCAGCTTTTAGACCCTCTTGCGTGGGAGAACCTACTGCCTACTCAGCCCTCCTCGTGTTTCTCCTAGAGTCTAAGAAGCAGCTTTTCGATTCGAAATGGTGTGGGTCGAGTTTGGCATTGAGGGAAATTGACGTTATATACTGAGGGCGCCAAAATTATTACTGAGGACTTCCCTTAGATTGGCAAGCGTTGCCTTTTCACATGTTTACAATCACATCTTTAGAATCGGAGCCATACTTAAGTTAAATCCAGTTGATCTGATAAAGTGATGTATTACATCTGCATCCTGATTGCCAGCATCTCAGCTTGAGACATCCAGAAAATCGTAGGGAACCTTAATTCTGGAATCTTTGACCTTCCCGATTGCAGCTGCCGGTACAGATAATACAAAAGCATATTTTTCGGTAGCAAAGTCTTTCCTGAACTTGTCCACTTCTCTTAGCAGTGTGTGGGGAATTTAAGAAACAGTTTTATCCCTGAATGTTAAGATAATTGGGAAAAGATGGTGGAGTGGAAGACCGAGATCACGTATTCGTGCATTGCAATTCGAATTTTTTTCAGTGCCTTGCGAATTAAACTTGTTCCCTTCCCCCACTTCCACCCTCCTCCTGCACCTTGGGGCCATGTTAGAGATAACTTGATTACCTGATCCTTTCAATACCCCTTCTATCTAAACATAGACCCTTCTACCTAAACATAGAATCTTCTGGTTCTGATAGGCTTACTTTGTGTTTTGTTATTACGGTGTTGATCAAATCAGAGCAGTGCCCACAATCTTACAGATACAGTTATCATCTGTTAAGGGACAAGTTTACACCAAACCTAGTGATCAGTTAAATTAGTTAAGGTTGCTTTGAACATTGTTTTCCGAAATGCTTTTATTTCCTTTTTTCATTCTTTAAACTGATTACCACAGCATAACTCCCCTTATACTTTTTAGATCCTGCTGATAAAAGCATTCATCTGTAGCGGACAGCTTCCTTCTGGATGCTTGATTATTGTGCCTCTGGTTGTGATGCAAATGATAGTGCAAACACTGATGCCATCTGTAACCAGGCAATACCTTATTCAAAAGAGGCTAGCTAAGCTGCTGGCTTTAGCTGTGACCACACCATTATGACTCATGGGCCATGATAAAGAAAATAAAACAGGACCAGACTTTGCAAGTGGCAATAAAGCTAGGGGACAAGAATGATTTTTCATTTAGAGGGGTTTTTTTGACCCCCTTAGAGAACTGTGGTTATTAAATCCTCTTCCTGTGCCTCTAGGAAAAATACAAAGACTTTGTTTTTCCTTGTGTTAAGCCTTCACCCTCTGCATAATGCAACACACCAGAACCTGAGGCTATGCTGGGGGAGAGCAACTTAGTTTTCTACTGGCTGATTTATCGGAATTCATCAGCCACCCCAATCTACTTCTGAGATATAAGGCTGATTTCAATTTTATACAACTGGATGTTAACATGCTTGGAAACATTGGATAAGATTAAGCCCAATGTGGAAAATTGCTGTCTGGTTAGGTTTCCTTGTTTCGGGCTTAATCATTAGCTTTTTGGTTCCTTAGATGTTCTGAAATCTTCATTGAACATAATTGGATATGTTGCCTATGGATCTTCCCCCCCATCACCCCCATCAATCTTTGGCTTTTCTGTACTGCAGAAGTGGTAACTGCTGCCCAGCGTGGCTCTTGGGATCTAAAGGTCATGGACAGGGCTGCTCAGTGGGTGCTGTGGGTCGTCAGGTGGGGAATTGCAGGGCCCATCCTCAAATGAGATAGTTTTACCACTTGCTACGGTTAGGCACAGTCTCAGGGGTGATGCACTCTTGATCAAAGTGGCTTTTCTTCTGAATTCAGGATCATCCTTTGCTGTCCAGTTATTTAGGAAGCATACTACATGTAGATGGGTGTGTCACACACACAAATAGATAAGAGTGGTTAAAAGCTCAGGCTCTGGAATCAGAGAACCTGGATTTGAATCCTTAGCCTTTCTTTGCCTCAGTAGTCTCATCTGTAAGGTAGTATCTACCCATAGAGTTATTGTGAGGATTAAATGAGGTAGGAGTAAAGGTCTTAGAACATTGTCCAATGCAATGAATGTACAATAAACATTGGTAAGAAGGGGTGGTGATGGTATTGCAGAAAATTTGGAAAATATAGAAGAGGACAAGGGGAAAAAAGACATCCCTAATAATTCTACTACCCAAGATAAACTGTTCACATTTTGATTTATGACCTTCTAGATGTTTGTGTGTTTATATACTTTTTTCAAATATCTAAGATGTGTATAGCTTTCTTCATCAGCAATATAATTTGAATAGTTTCTCCCCTTAATATTTAGTCTACATGGTTTTAATAGCTGTATAGTCTTGTCTTATGGTTTTACCATAATTTTAGATAATCAAGTTCCTATTATTAGATATTTCCAATTTTTTATCTAATGCCTTTATATGAAAACCCTTCAACATAAATCTTTGACCATTTCTGATTATTTCCTTAGGATAAATCCCTAGAAGGCGAATTACTAGGTTAAAGGGTATACATTGTTTTTCAGGCTTTTGATACCTATTGCCGAATTGCTCTCCAGAAAAGTTGAACCAATTTCCACTCTCATCAGCAATAATAACAATATTAATAATAATTAATGTATAGTGAATGCTTAAGATGTGCTAGTTACTATGCTAAGCACTTTATACACATATCATATTTAATCCTCTCAACACTGATATGAGGAGTTCTTACTATCCCCATTTTATGGATGAAGGAACTAAGATTCAGAGGTTAAGTAACTTGACCAATTCTGGGTATTATTGTTCTTTAGAATTTTTGCCCATACAACGTCTCATCTGGCTTTTAAAACTTTTGAATATACTAAAATGTTTTACCCCAATCTCTTCAATATTGATAAATAACTTTGGTTTATCTCGTTACTCTGGATAGGCTGAGAGGGGGAAGACTTTCACTTTGGTTGCCTAGGATTTTCCTAAGAACTATATCCTTTGGTTGGTTAATCCCATGTATTTTGCACATGCCAGCATCTCCGTCTAAATTCTTGAGATTTTCTTAAGAATACCGCCTGCCTTTTAGATTCACTTTTATTTCCTTTTTGTGTTTCTTTTTTTTGTGAGGAAGATTAGCCCTGAGCTAACATCTGTTGTCAGTCCTCCTCTTTTTGCTGAGGAAGACTGGCCCTGGGCTAACATCTGTGCCCATCTTCCTCTACTTTATATGGGACGCTGCCACAGCATGGCTTGACAAGCAGTGCTTCGGTGCACGCCCAGGATCCGAACCTGCGAGCCCTCGGGCCGCTGCAGCGGAGCGCAGGCACTTAACCGCTGTGCCACCAGGCCAGCCCCACTTTTTGCGTTTCTTAACATTCCATGCTAGTCGGATGCACTTATGCCTGATGCTAAAGGAAAGGGTAAAGGAGAAGTTCGTTTTCTCGTTGGATGGACATAGCCGGTTGTCTGGCCTCTCTAGAATAGGAAGGGAGAATGATTGGCCCAAAGTCATTTGGAGAACAGGCCATTAGCTAGAGGGAAAGAACAAGGAGTGTTATCCTTTAAATTGCTAAACCAGATCTTTCTGCCTGATAGATTATATTAAGAGCAAACAGATTTTAGTCATAACTGTTCTACCATCAATCACTGCCTAACTTATCATCTCTTAGACTTAGAGGAAACCATAAGAATAATATTAAGATTTTTTTGAGGATTCATTGAACTGTTTATTGACAAGGTGTATAATCTGAGTGTAGTTCATGGGCTTTTTAAGGCTTTCTGGAAGTCTGTACATTCTGATACTACTGGAGGGAAAGATTGGTCTTGATCGGTGAGATTAGAATTATACACAGTAAAACAAGGCAGTGTCCTAATTTACTTGCATCACTTTATTTTTAATATAGTAAAATAACTTTTTCAAGTTGTTAGGTGCATGCGTGGTCATAACATCCTTCTAGGCTTGAGGGTAAGTTTTAGTCCTAAGTTTGGCTTTGGGAAATGGCCGAACTGTTGGTTGATTATCATCAGGTAATATAATAACAAAAAATGGTACTAGTGATTGTGTTGGGTGGTGAGCTGGTGTTTTTTTAAAGAGTTAATTTTCAAACCTTAATGTGATGCTAGAATATAATTTTTAAAGGAATCACCTCTACTAAAGCTGTGTATTTAGCAAATATTCTCTGATGTTTAAGTTGGCAGTGATAATTTAATTTTATAATTAATACCTTACCTGCTTTCAAGAAAGGATTTGAAGTGTGTTTCATGATAGTCACATGTACAAAAGATTCGTTAAGTAGATACATCAGAAGCCTTATAGAACAAAGGACTATAGTAATTGTGCCAAGAATTTGGCATAAAGTGATTACTGAAGTTTAGTGTTACTTTAACTGTATCCCTTGACTTCCTGGCAGCCAAAAGGATAAAGGCATATGCAATGGATTATGTAGTTTTTGTTTTCATAAAACTCTTGACACTTCCAGGCACAACATTCTAAGAACTTGATAGGTGGGATCCTAAAATAATAATATTGAGTAACATAATGAACCATGTAAACAATTTTGTGGGTATTGTGTGTGTGTGTGT